TCACAGACGAAGCACACTTAAGTTCAATGTGACAAGCCTTGTCCTCAGGCAGGGTCTTAGTTTATTGCAGCTACCTCTGGTAGTATGCTCTAGACCTGAGACAATGCTGGTCTTTGAAATGGAAATATCTTAGACTGATGGAACATGAAATCAATATTCTCCAGTCTTTCAGGGAGACTAAAAGGGAAAAACATGACACAAGCAAACAAAGTGCTCAAGTATGAATGATGTTTTTTAAAAAAACCTAGCATCAGGGAGCCCTGCGTGCTGCAACGAGGTATTGGGCAGAAGTCTTTTTCAGCCACTATAACTGGACTTTCTTTTTGGTATGGAGAAGGGAGCACTAAAGAAAAATAAACTTCTGGGTTGTACCCAAACAAAAAGTCAGGAGGTAGCCAGGATTCACAATCAAACTGAGGTCTTGGGAGGCACTCCCACATGAACAACATGAAAGATATGGAATGAGACACATAAATGTGCACTTCTCAGGCAAGACAATAATGGAAGAAGGAAGTAGAAAAAAAAAGACAGAAGTAAACCTATAGAAGCATGGTATTCATGAAGAAGAAATCATATACAGAAGCAGAAGCCCTGGATTCTTTAGAGAATTCTTGGATGATTAATTGCCTAGAGCAGGAGAACATGTACTCATGTTTTAGTGCTTTGTACAGGTCTGTATGTACATAAAGAGTAACTGTTTTGGAGCCTGAATGTATGTTTGCTTCATTTGCACATCTCCCTAAACACAAAAAATGTGAGTCCTCCACAAGGTTGAAGCAAGATACAGGCTTAAAGAAATAGGAAGTCTTTAAGTATCTGGGAGCTCTCTGGTGAGAATATAGCAGATCTGTAGCACAATTTCAGACAAAAAGGAATTTTCTGTAGGTTTTTCTTTGTTCATTTTTAAACATAACCCTATAACACTTCTGAGTTTCCTCCAAAACATAGGTGTCCCATCTTGGCCCAGATTTCATAAGGAAGTGAGAGACTCTGTGTCACAGCAAAGAATGTATGGCCAAAGAAACTACCACAGCATCTTATATCCTTATGCAATAAAAGACAAGGGAGGGAAAAGGGGTCTTTTCAGAAAGCTAACAAGGGGAAAAGAGCTTCAGGCAAAAAAAAAAAACCTGAACAACAAAAATAGGTTAAATAATCCTGCATCAAAGACATTACTCGGAGGGAGAAACAGAGGCTGCAGGAAGCTTGAACATGAAAGATTTCAGTCTTCAAGACTAAGTTTTAAATGCTAGCTATGGCTGCAGCATATCTAAATAGCTAATATCTAAGTAGTGGATGGCTTAGCCGAAGCATCATTTCCCAGCTCTTGGCTCGTAATAGCATGAATTCAGATACAGATAAAAATGGGTCAAAACAAAAACACAGTCAGGCCAACCAGGATATGTTTTACCCTAATCATTTGCTTTCAAAATTTATTAATATCCATCTCAGTGCTTCTCCTGGAGTCCATGTTTCTATCTGCATGTCTATAGTCACTACCTTATAAAGCAGCTCTGGTCTTCAGAACTGCACCCGTATCGCTATGATTTGCACTCCCTTCTGGACAGCATTCTTCTCTCCCACTCATCAGTATCAAGACAAATATGATTAGCTCAGACAGTGAACAGCACCAGTTTCCAAAGGCATTGCCAGGTCTCAGCTTTCTTGCATCCTCTATCGGTTGTACTACCTCACAAGTGCCCTATTCATCTTCTCATCAAAGTTGTATGCAAGAAAATTCTTTCTAAATTTCAGTCTAAAACATAAATTGCTAGAACTGTCACCCATGCTGATATCACAATGCATCTCAGTTACTGCTTTGTTCACCCTAAGCCTGTAGAAATGTAACCTGCCATCTCTGGCATCTATTCCATATGCTACTGCTTTGAAGTTTATTTTCTGAGCCCATCATTCGCTCGTGACATTCATACCTGTGCATCCTCCTGCTGGATACTCTTTCCCTTTCTCATCACTTACAGGTACGTACTTTCATTTCCAAGGAATTTCAAAGTCTAATTCATCCTCCTTCAGCCCTTTTCAAGACTTTCTTTTTCTGTACCAACAGCTCATTACGCTTGCCCTCCATGTTCTACTTGTTAAATACAAGTATCTCTGTTCTTCAGTTGCATTCCCCATTTATCTGTAAATATTCCTGAATAAATAGTACGAGCCAACTGAAAAGTATTACATTCATTGTCTGACTCCAAAATTAGAAGCACTGAGGTTCTGAATTCGTAATGCTGTAGCAGTAAAGCTGGGTGAATAATTTACAGCATGAAGCTTATTTAATGAATTTGGCTTAATTTTCTGTTTATAGAATGATGAATTTGGTCTTCAGAAGTACTGTACCAATAATTTTTGCAAATTATTTTTTCCATATTGCTGAAGCATAAGCAAATTTGAAAACAGTTGTGTTTTGATGTTCAGGATAAATTTCTGTTACAGGACTATGTCTTAGAAGTAGGCTGTCAGTACAAACACTGGTGATGATATATCTAAAACTCACTGCCTGAGAATAACTTCTGAAATAGTAGCTGTGATGGTGGTGATCATCCCTATTAATAAAATTAGTTTCAAAAATACCATCTGGAAAAAAAAAAAAAAAAGGAAGAGATACAAGCACATAAGTTACATTTATTTTAAAATGCAAATGCTTTTTCAAAAGGAGTTGTGTTTATATCTTAAGCCTGATTCTCTAAGGAAATGAAAGATGGCTCAGTGGCTGAGTTTTCTGTCCTTTTGTAATGCTTAATTGAGTCGCATTCACTTAATCCCACTGTAACTTTTTTGGACTCCTAATTAAGAAAAGAAAAATAAATGGGAAAAATAAAAATAAAAAAGAGATTTCAAAGACCCATATCCTGCAGGTTGAGAGAAGATGCATGCCTGGATCAATGTGGGAGATTCAGAACATTGTTCCCAGCTGCAGAACTGGCTGTCGTGTGAGCCCAGCAACAACAGGATCCCACTGGCATTCTGAGCTCCACAACCAGCAAGCATAGCACACACACACAGCTCCAAAACAAGCGCACGCTACCTTACTTGTAGGGGTCAAGACTGTGGACAGAACCTGAAGACAGGGATGGGGTGTAGGGATGCTCAGGGTGTATGAGGGAGCAGGGAGATGGAGGCAAACCTGTGATGAAGGGATCTGAGGAAGACCCAGCAGTTCTTCGTCCTTAAGGCAGTAACGGTGGATAAATAATGTTTGAGGTGTAAGACAACCTTTCATAGAAAAACAGGCTTTGTTTATTCTTCTGCTCATTACGTGGAGGTCTCAATTTTTTTTTTTTTTTTTTTTTTGAGTACTCATACACATACTTGATGTGTAAATCTCATCTTGCCCATCTCAGCAGCCATCATCTTACATAACTGATCAGAACAATATTGCTATGCAGTAACTTCTTCCATCTAAAGTGGCAGAAAGTGGTGAAAGGCAGTAATACACGGTCTAACTGGCCTAATCTTCACAACTAATGTAAAAATATTCCTTCATAGTGTTTTCAGAGGACTCTGCCAACCTGCCCTCCATATAGATCAGTGGTTATTAGATACTTTATTTCCTATTGCTATGCAATCATAGTTTTTAACAAAAGAATGTCCTGAATGCCTCAGAACAGATAACTAAAATTAAGCTCTGGGAAAACACTGACTACATCTATATATCCTACAGAGCATACAAAATGGAGTCACAAGGTACAGCTTTTAATGGTGGGTCAGAAGCTCCTCAAGTCTTATTGTCAGTGCTGACTTGAGAACCAGCACAGTAACAGCAGACTAATACAAACCAACATCAAAGATCCCATCTTTTCTAGCTATAACACACACACACACACACACACACACACACAAAAAAAAAAAAAAAAAAAAAAAAATGAATTTCTCAAATTCATTTCCATTCTAGTCTTCTACAGCATGACATTGGCTTCTGAGCATTAGTAACAGTAACCCATAGCCTAGGAGCTCAAAACTAATTTAAAGCATGATGTTTTATCTTGGTAGTGTCATATCAACTTATATCTTTGCAATATACATTTCTACCCATGGTAGTTATTAAAACTTTGCAGCAACAATAGCCATTATTATTTAAGTAGAGAACTAATATTTTTGGAAGCCTGCTAGAGAGTACTGGATGATAAAAACTAAAGGAATGCCAGTACTGTGAGGACCTCCTCTCTACAGTCTATGAACAAAAACTATTTAATGCAAGTGGAAAACCGGTGATTCAGTTTGAAAGCCTCAGATGGAAAATAAAGTCAACATATAATTTTAAAACTATGATTTTTTTCTTTGATGTATTCATAGTTATAAAAATAAACTTGTTCTGCTTTGCCTATCACAAAATTAAAATGTACGCTATACACAAAACATATTTTCTATTTCACAGGATAATTACACAGGTAGTATTTTAACTATACTTATTAAATTCTGTCTCCTTTTTTTCTCTCAAATACCTGGAAACCAAATCCCCTCAAGAGAATGAAGGTGCTGCAGTCTGTAACAAGGACTAACAGTGTGACAATTCCTTTTTGCAGGGCAGTAAAGGATTGGGGCACAACACTAATATCTCACAATCATTCCATTTACTATGAATGGACAGCTGCTGTTCTCTTCCTAATCTTGAGTGGAAGGTTAAATCTAAACCAAAAGAACATTCAGGCTCTGCTGAAACAGAGAATACTCTAGTGCTTTTCAGGAGCTAAGGACATCACTGAGGTCTTCATCATCCTTACCGCACTACAACTGAAGTGTCACTTAAAGAAAAACAAACTATTACACAGGAGGTGTGTACCCCTATAGGAAAAAAGGAATGTTGGACATACATTGCCATGAGGTAAACATGATGACAGCACAACATTAAATTTCAATGAACAAACTTCAAATTTCTTTTTTCCTGTGACATAAATAATTGCCTTTCACACTTTTGGAGGGGAGATACTGGTAACTTTTTCCATCTTAGTTTCCATTAGATTTTACTAACTTAGGACTTCAGCTATTACCTTGTAGATGTCCAGGAATCCACACTGATGGTCAAACCGTGTGTAGAGTTCATTCAGCATGCTGATGACTTGCATGGGTGTGCACTGCGCGCAGATGGCTGTGAAGCCAACAATATCCGAGAAGAGCATGGTGACATCATCAAACTTCCTGGCCTGAACTTGCTGTCCCTGCCACAACTGCTGAGCCACTTCTTCAGGGAAAATAGAAATAAGGAGATCGACTGTTTTCTTTTTCTCCTCTTCCAGGGCTTGGTGTGTGCGTTCTAGCGTTGCCTTCAGTTTATCCATTCTTTTTTTCAAGCCATCTTGGGCCTTCGCTTGCTCCCCAACCAATATAACATCACGAGTAGCATCATGGATAGGTATGTCCGACAGATGGAGGCCTCGGCCCATCAGTTCATCCAGCTTGTCCACACAGGGAGACCCCAGAAACAAAATTGAATTGGATTCTGGCACATGAATCATTTGTCCCTTAACTTCCATCACCTGCAAAAATAAAACCAGATTTTAGAACAGCGAAGATCACCTGATAAATGGATTTCTCATCTAATTCCTCCGTATTTACTCTTCAGTTAAAATGATAAGCATAAACTGCAGCCTTTTACACAGTTGCATCTTAAACACCTGTTCAAATAATAAGACTCACATAGTCTGCTCATCAAGGTAAGTCAGAAAATAGTCTATATTCACACAAAAAATTTCCCAAATCAAGGATGGGACTCCATTTTAGCTCAATCAGATCAGAAAGCAACCACAATAACACATATTTCTCAGAAAGGATGTAAATAATGCTTCTAAGTTGTGCTCCTTGAACATACCTGGCCTTAAAAGCAAATTCATGAGTAGCTTTTTATCTGTTAATTAGAAACAAATTTTAAAATCATTAAATTAAAGAAAATTAAAGGTTAACTACGACTATCTGAAAGCAGTCTAGGTGAAGTAGCTTCTGTTCTTTTTAAGGAAACACCTACTAATTCAAATGTTCTCATGCTATAGAGCAGTCTGGTAAGAGCAGACACAAAGAAGAACTCCTATAAAATAATTAACTCCACAGAAAAAGTTTATCAGTGCCTCTATTTCCCATTTGCTTTCTCACGTATGCAGTGTATTTGATGCGTGACATTCTGTTAGAGTTTACAGATTTCTTCCTGATAAAGATCCATACAGTTTGTATTTGCAGAATGGAAGAGAAAACAAAAGAGAAGTATTATCAGAAAAGATCAGGTGGTATATTGTCCTGCTGGATAGATTTTGCATTTGGCTGTTAAATGGCCATACATACATCTTCTGAGTCCAGTAGTTGATACAGTTGAGTCCCTGGCTTGTCACCTCTTGTTACCTTTCAGTGCATTTGACAGAGAGTTTTTCTATTTTCCATACCTAGAACATCACTGGCATACAAAATAAATGTACATTTTCAGTTTCCTTTTCTACCTTCAGGTGAAAACAGGCTGTTAGCTTCAAAGAGTGTGACCATGTCCCCAAGATGAGCCTGTAGTGCCTGGGGTGCCCAGAACTAGAACAAGCTGCCCAGAGATGTGGTCTGTTCCCCTTCCCTGGACACATTCAAGGTCAGACTGGAGGGACTCTGAGCAACCTGATGAAGCTATAGGTGGCCCTGTTCACTGCAGGGGAGTTGGACAAGATGACTTTTAAAGGTCCCTTCCAATTCAAACAATTCTATGATAATCAAGGCAAGTCACTGGGCCTCAGAACTTGCTTCTGCTGTCAGCCTGCTGCTAGATGGGAAGAAAAATAATGCACCTCTCTGTGCTCCTGCTTCCCTTCTGTCAGTTTTAGGAGTCTTTAATGTGATCTCTGTCCATGTGAATACAGTATGCCAACAAGGCTGATGTTTTCTACAGTATGTTGAGAAGCCTTTACAAAGATAATCTCCCTATGAAACTGCTCCGTTTCATAAAAGTGTCTGCTATGATTTAACACAAGTGGCAGCTTAGCACCACACTGCCATGTGCTCACTCCTCTCCAGTGGAAGGCGGCAGAGAAATGGAAAAATGTAAAATTCATTGGTTGAGATAAAGACAGATGAACAGGACAGAAAAGGGAGGGAAAATAATAATAATTTTAGAAAAGGAAGGGAAAATAATAATAATTTATATATAAATATATATATATATGTATACACAAAGCAAGTGATGCACAGTGCAATTGCTCACTACTTTCTGACTGATTCCCAGCCAGTTCCCAAACAGTAGCAGCTCTGCCAGTAAACCCAGTTTTACTGCTCAGCACGATGCCATATGGTATGAGATGTCTCTGTGGTCAGTGTGGTTCAGCAGTCCTGGTTCTGTCCCCCTCCACCTCTTTGTGTACTGCCAGCTCCTCGCCCAGCAGAAGGGTATGAGGAGCTGAAATGTCCTTGACTCTATGTAAGCACTGCACAGCACCAACTCAAAAACACTATGTTATCAGCATTATTTTTCTCCCAAAACCAAAATACAGGACCATACCAGCCACTATAAAGAAAATTAACTCTATCTCAACTAAAACCAGGACAGTGTCCTGATTCAATTCCAACTTTACCCTCTTCAGCCTGGAAAAGAGAAGGCTCTGAGACTTCATAGCCGCCTTGCTATACCTGAAAGGGCCTACAGGAAAGCTGGGGAGTATCTTCTGGGCAGGTAGCAACAGGACGAGTGGAAATGGTATTAAAGTGGAAGAGGGTAGATTTAGACTAGATATTAGGAAGAAATTCATTACTGTGGGGATGGTGAGACACTGGAATAGATTGTCCAGAGGTTCTGGATGCCCTCTACCTAGAAGCATCCTCCCAGTCTTTGCAAAGGCCTTTTCCTTTCAAAGAAGATTCAGAGATGATTCAGCTCTATTCCAGGGGGCTTTGAACTGCAGCTATGATTCAGTACGATCTTCATCTCCTTCTTTTGGAGTGTGCTGCTTCTCAGATCTCTCTCTGTATCTTCAAGCTAGTCATAGTCAAATTACACTTCTGGGCAGCTCCCCAGAGCTGGGCAGCTTTACACCCAGACCATAAGCTTATAGGCAATTAGAATTACATCATCTATCTTTCTTGTAAGCAGGGAAAGATTGAAATGTTTCTGTCATCTGTTATATTTCATTACTGCTACATTTCATTGCTTTCCTGGCTCTTTAATTATCATCTCGCAGAATAAATTAGAACAAATCCAGTCTTTTCAGAGGACATTTTCCTGATCTACAGTGGTGAAATGGAAAACTAAACATTTTGAAATGAACAACTGCATCTTGTGCTTTATAGGATTACATTGCTGTGAAATTATGGTACATCATAAGTAGCCCTAGGAAATAAAAAAATAAAAAATAAAAAACCCCAATCATTTTATTTTCACTGCAAACCCACTGCAAAGAAAGGGAAGCACACAGTAGAGTCCCTGACTATCCAGGATTCTTCCAGCCTCCCTCTCCCAAATGATCCAACCAGGGAACACTGGCAGACTCTAACACCACCATTTACAAGATGAGACAATCTCCTACAGTGCTGTACATCAGCAGCTACCTCAGCACGTCACTTAGGCTCTGCAAGATCTGGATTAAAAACACTAAAATTAAGTATGAGTCTTCTGGAAAATATCAATGGGAACATGAGAGAGTATTTCCAAGAAATATCTTGGGGCTTAAAAATAATTTTCTGCCCCATGTTTTTCAGCCTTTGCAGATTTTAAGGGACCTTCCCTCTGACTTTGATCAGTACACAAACCTTCCTAAATTGTGATAAAAGTCTTCTCTTTTTAGGGCTTTTCATTAGGAATGGGTTAGGAAACATAGAGCGCTATGCCACACTTCTGTAAACAGCTCATCTCACATGTTCATTCAATGAACAAATTCAATGACAATAAACAAGCCTTCTTCTTAAAATGGCATATAATTAATTAAAGGACTGGGGGGACTGGAAGAAAATCAAGTTATGATGAAGAAGACTAGAGAGCATTCATGGTACCCAGAAAACAACTTAAGCCCAGAACAGAGAAAGCATGAGTGTACATTGAGGACAAGAGTATAGGACAACTTCAAGAAAGGTGAATTAGCTGCTAAGCTAAAATCTAAATCAGTTGGACATTCTTTAAATGTCTTCTCTTATCTTTATCTTATCTTAAAGCATCTGAATTAAAAAAAAAAAAATTCTAACAAAACACTAGCTTCCATTACAGACATCTGCTGAAAAAGCAAAGAGAAACACATGTAATCTCTGCAGAAATGAAAAAGTATTTATTTTTTCACTTGAGTAAATGTGGCAAAGTTTGCTCAGCACAACTCAGGAGTTTCTCAGGTTCTTGTTGAGGTAGAACCCTGAGCATTTGTTTACAAGCTGGATTTCCACCTCAATGCATTGTCAACAGAACATAATTCCACACAGCAGCAAAGTGACTGTTATGAATTTCTGATTATTTATAGAAGTCTCTTGGGTGTTATGTAATGCACAACAGTCTCCAAACTAAAGTGAGCAAATTTAACATTTTATGTGTGTTAGATACTTCATGAACATAAAATGGCAGCAAGAATGTTGTAGGGAACTCCACTTTAGGAAATATAAAACACTGGTTATATATATTGGAAATATATTCGTTTTTCCACAACATAAAAGAGATGATAATGTATCATAGAATCATACAATCATCAAATGGCTTTGGTTGCAAGGGATCTCAAGGATCATCAAATTCTAACCCCTTGCCACTGACAAGTATGCTTGCCTGCACAACTAAATATTTGAAACTTTGTCACTCTTCTTTTTGGGAGAAATTATCAGCTGGAATAGAGCGGTGACCAGCACCCAGAGCAACATAATACTCAGTACATCCCACTAGACACAATTTTATAAAAATTGAAGAACCTACAGAGAAATCTTTTTACATATATCAATGATAAATTAATTAGAACAATCTGCATTTCAAAGGCAGTTTGAAACAAACACGTCATTTTATTTTTATCTTTGTTTGCATCACTCTATTCCAGCATCAAAGTCCTTTCAATTCCTTTTGATTTATTAACAACAAAAAGAACATTTGAGCTATTCAACAACAGTTGCAGCCGACTGAAAGACACCAAGGATGGGATTGTAGCTTTTTGTCCCTTAAAATTCATCCTGTTCCATACATCTTTCCATTTTTTTTTTTCATAGAATCACAGAATGGCCTGGGTTGAAAAGGACCACAAAGATCATCGAGTTTCAACCCCCTGCTCTGTGCAGGGTCACCAACCACCAGACCAGGCTGCCCAGAGCCACATCCAGCCTAGCCTTGAATGCCTCCAGGGATGGGGCATCTATAATATCCTTTGGCAACCTGTTCCAGTGTGTCACCACCCTCTGAGTGAAAACTCTTCTTTTTGGCTGGTTCAGCTTCTATACAGCAGTGTGCAGTCATGCCAGGGAAAAAAAAATATTAAGAATTAAAAGTACTCTGGAGGCTCTTCTCTGAATTGGGTCTCTTGATAAATGTTGTGCAAACACATCAAATCATATTATTCTTACT